TTTTATAGAATAAGAGTGGTAAACGAAAACACAGTCAATCTGATGGTGAGTGGATACTGTGGCCCATAGACATCTACATCTATCCCCGATTAAGTAGCAAAATGTAGATACGTTGTCACCGCTGAGGATCAAGATAGAAAGCCTCGTTTCCAGTAAAAAGGATTTGAGGTTCAGGTTCTATACACGCACCATACGAAACACAGCAGCATTAAGCTGCTATTTCACGCTGGTATCCTGTGAGAGCGTGGCCATTAGGGTTTGGCAAATTTCATAATTCCTAATTATTCCCGAATTAAATTTCAAGGTCCCGGGACACGAGATAGCCAACAATCAAAGTCCCGGGAATTCCCGGGACTTCGAGACTTAAGAAAAAAAATTTCTAATAGAGCTAAAGCCTTTTTTGAAGAATTTTAATTGAGTTATTTCCTTATGAAACATATTAAAAAGGCATTGTTTTTGTAAAAATCAACATTTATTAAACAGAAAATTAAATCTAAATAAGTTTAAAGTTAATTTCAGTCTTAATAATTGCTTTGTTTATTTCTTTTAATCACACACAAATTCAATCTCCACATTCGTAAAGTTGTTCTTATTTACTAAGTGCTCGGCGCTAATCAAAACCATTGGGAGGAAACCTATAACTGAGTGGAGCAACGGGCAGCATAGAGAACTCTCTTTTTCCCTAAAACCGCCACTTGTAAACAGATAAATCTTATAGTTATAAAACGAACTTAATTAAAAATCATACCAATTTTAATAACGTCAAACAACAACAACCACACATTTATTGTGTTGTGTACTCAGTAGTTATGTAGAAGACCGAGTAATTACTCATTAAACCAACAGATGGTGCCAGGCTCCTTCAATTATTTGAAAATAAAAATGATTACATAACAATTTCGACAACCTTGTCTCGTCTCAAGTCTCGACCTAAAAGTCCCGAGACTCGAGACAACTAAAATTACGAAAAGTCCCGGGACTTCGAGACACGAGACGTCCCGGGACCCAAACCCTAGTGGCCATTTCTCGGTCAAGCAGCGCTACAATCATAATATAGCTGTAGCATGGCTTAATTGGGGATAAATGTAGATATATGAGCCACAGTATCTACATAAAATCAGATTGACTGTGTGCTCGTTTGTCACCCTTATTCTATTTTTTTTAAACCCCGTAATCGGTTTGGAAAGACAAGTGCTAGCAAATTCTATTCCTTTACTACACGCATGACGAATAAACTACATTGTAATTTATGTTACAAAAACCATTTTATCCCTTACGTTGTATGTTGTCATAAAGACAAACGGTTTCATTTTTATACGCTATAATATAACTTCATAAACGAGATTTTCGGCATGCATAAATAAGCGACCCAGTCGCGAGGATGTTCTTAGGGATCCGTGAAATTATTTTTAAATTGTTTCCATTTCAACACGCTTTTATTTGCTTCGCATATTTATGGATCTATCTATCTATGTAGCGGAATTTTAAATGCAGTTTTCACCAACTTGTAGACGTCCGATTGACTTGAAAATTTGCACTCGTATCTAGGACATATCATAAATTTTATAACTTTATCCTAGTATCCTGACCAGGATCACCTGGATAAAATAAAATATTTATCAGGATTATCCTTATGGTCAATGGTTTCAGTTTTGTTATAGTCTTAATCTGTTAAGGTTCATAAAGGGCCTTCAAAAAACATTACATAAAGAGCAATAAAAATAAATCAGTAAACAGTTTACTCAAGATAAGATGCAGAGAGAGATGGACGCCTATATAAGATATGTTAGAAATTGAATTTGCGTGCGCAAGTCGTGCGTGCCGTGTAGTTGCGTGACTACAGCATGGTAATGTTTTCACACGCACGCTCGCACGCATACACACACACACAGGCGGTGTAAGAATGTCCACTACCTCATATCGTCCCGTGGGTGTCGTGACAGCGGGAAACAAACCAGGAGACTGTCCGTATTCCGCCTTTCTTATAGTGACTAAAAAATAAAAAATGGGTTAAGTAACAAACCCTTTTTTATTTTTTGAACATTAACTGTTAGTTAACAATTAACTATTAGTTTGCATACTAAGTATGTACACACCAATAGTAACGCTGCTTATTGTTGTTGGCATGCATCATCGACGCGCATCACGATGCGATCTAACAGTGGACAGGTCCACCGAGCTGCCGTAATGCGTGTTGGCAAACTTCACATGTCTTGGAAATATTTACAATTTCATTGGTTGCTCGCGTACTCTGAAACTCACAGCAAGCGCTTAGCCCTGAGCTACTACGGCGCCCCTTAAACCGCTGTCCACTTACTATTGAGTCTACACAACGAGAACACAGTCTACTGCATTATCATTTGTCGCTCTTCTAATGCTGGGTCTACACTAACGGGAAACGGCAATGCAACAATTATTGTTTTGAATTTAACGATATAAAGTGAGTGGCTACATATAAACGGTCAACGTCATTTCAATTTCAATGCCATTGAACGGCGTTAAAGTTGACGTTAATGTTCTGTTTAAATGGGTTCTATAAAAACCCATTAGGCTTTCCTTATTCTTTATAATTTCTTCGACAGATGTTTTAAAAGGTAACAATTGCATAATTCGTCGCAAAGCATCATTTTGCGATGTACGATTCTTAAAACTTTTGAGTCTTGAATCCCACAAACATGGCTCTGTTTGCAGAATCTTAAGAAACGTAATAACTTTTTCATTTTCCGCCCCATCATAGCCATACGTGCGACCCCTTTGCGCTCACGGTGCACAAAGAGACAAACGTAGTGTGGCCGCTTCAATGCGTTATTTCGTGCGTTAATCTCTTTGATATACTGCCACTCGAGTTATCGTCAAACGGCAAACGGCGTTGTTAATACCATCTACAAAACGTACATAAGACCCCTGCTAACATACGCTGCTCCGGCCTGGTATGCACTCCTGAGCGATCATCAGAAGCGGCGACTTCAGGCCCAGCAGAGTTTGTCATTACGAACCATAGTCGGTGCGGGTCGCTACGTCCGGAACGACGTCATAGCGGCCAACCTAAAGATAGAGAGCCTACAGGAATTCGTGATCCGGCTGGCGCGCGGTATGTTCGACCGCGCCGACAACGGGCCACATGAACATCTCAACGGCTTCGCGCCGTTGCACTCACGGCCGCCGGACGGGCGACCCTATACAAAAGGACAGGGTCTCCTCCCTATATAGATTAGAGAGTCGAGTTAACCCCACAATGCCGCAGAAAGGCCAACTTTGACAAAATAATTTGTGTTAAACACAATTATATAGATAACCTCTTTTAATGAAAATTTTACCCGACCGCGACAAAAGTCGCTAAATACATCACGCCTTTACCATCAAGGCGCCCAGGACCCCGGCACATTGCAGTGTGCCGTGAGGAACATCCGGGTAAAGGGGTACACCCCGAGGCCCGAGACCTGCATGGCATTATGCCTTGCAGAAGACAACGACGACGACGTTGTTAATGCCTTTGTCAAATTAACGCGTTAAGTCGTGGCCACACCACTTATATTCAACGTCCATCAACGCGGTAATTAACGGCATTTCTCGTTAGTGTGGCCCCAGCATAAAAAAGTAGTCGTAAAAAAGCAGTAAAAAAAGTCGTAGTTTATACGGAACCAGTTCATAAATCGAACATTTTCAAACCCACGTATATTTTCGCCACTTGTTCTGTTGCATAAATTTCGACCTTGAGCATAACCTTTCACTACGTTGATCGCTTATTATTTTGCATAATTTACGTTTATGGCCTACTGTACCACATACGCTAAATGTATGTAATTATTTTCGATTACATTGAAACGAAAATATAACCAAATGGTTTTTAAATTAATTACTGTATTACTGTGTAATGTACTGGCTCTGTATTCTCTATTACTGTGTAATGACTAAAACTAAATTTGCGGAGTTTATCGCGTTTAAGTTAACTTATTTTTAATTCCCGACGTTTCGGGTGCTTTACAACACCCATGATGTGGTTGACGTGAAGCACCGACGATCCAAGGTGTCGTAGTCTGTGAACGTAATCAAGATCATCCCTGCCAATACATTAGATTTGATAGACCACAAAAACTCTCAAAAGAAAATCGATTCCTAGCAAAGATGATTCGCGAGACTATTCAAATTAAAAATAAAAACATCCTAATTTCAATAGAAGAGATGGATGACTGCTATGATAAGACTTTAAAATACTGTTAAGCTCATTCTGCGTACATCGGAAAAAGACTAATATTCAAACGGCTGGAGGTAGCCGGGCCAACTATAACATTGGAACGTCAAACATCTCAGTCTCTCTGTGACCATGGGTGCTGTTAGCACCCAAAACGTAAATCAAGAAAAAGTTTTTTTTATAGAATAAGGGTGACAAACGAGCACCCAGTCCACCTGATGGTAAGTGTATGCTCTGGCCCATAGACTTCTACATTTATACTCGATTAAGAATCAAATGCGAAGTGTAGGGCGACCCCCCATTAGATGGAGTGACGACCTGGTAAAACATGCAGGAAGTCGATGGATGCAGGTGGCTCAGGACCGTGCTTTGTGGCATACCTTGGGGGGAGGCCTATGTTCAGCAGTGGACTTGTGAAGGGCTGTAATGACGATGATGATGATGAAGAATCAAAAGGCAGATGCGTTGTCACCCCTGAGGACTAAGACGGAATGTCTTGTTTCCGGTAGAAAAAGGGTTTCCGGATCTCTACAAAAACCATATGAAACACAGCAGTATAGAATTGTTATTTCACGCTGGTATTCTGTGAGAGCGTGGTCCTTCCCCGGTCGTGCCGCCCCATCCGTGCTACAACCATAATATAGCTGCAGCGTGGCTCTAACATATATAATCCCAACACTTTTTTAACAAATTATCTTCCCCCGTTATGAAATCTGTCAAATATTTCACATCATTGATGAGCGCCGCCGCGCCGCGCTGGTGACAGTAAAAGTCGTAGTTGTCATTGTAATATTTCTTTCAATTCTAGAACAAATGTGGTGATGAATTACACAGAGGTGGAGGGCAAGGTCCGCGAGGCGACGTCGGACGAAGCCTGGGGACCCACCGGCCAGCAGATGCAAGAGTTGGCACTCGCCACCTTCACCTACGAACACTTCCCCGAAGTCATGTCAATGCTCTGGAGGCGGATGCTGCACGATAACAGATCGCATTGGCGACGGACGTATAAGGTGAGAAGACAAACTGTTCCATCACACGCTACAGCATGACAGGTCCACTGCTGAACAAGGTCTCCCCACAAATTGCTACATAGTACTGTCTTGTTATGTGTTTAACATCAGGTCTTCAATCCATGTAGTGGGGTACATTTAGCTCTTATAAATTAGTAATAGCTACATGCGTCATACCTGTGAATAGGTATGACTCTAACCACTTAGGTAGAGTCATGCTGGATCTATATTATGGTTGAAGCACGAATGGGTCAGCTCACCAGAACCACACTCTCACATCTGCTTATTAATTCTCGAGGATAAATGTATATGTTTAAGGGCCACAGTATCCACTTACCATCAGGTGAACTGTGTGCTCATTTGCCACCCTTATTCTCTAAAAAAACAGATGCTGCTTATGGGGATAGGTCTACTCTTTGCAACATATTTAAATGACCTAAATTTTGTATATGTTTTTTTTTTGTTTTTGTGTTGTTTTATTATGTGACATACTTTCATTACTTGTTCCTCTGTTCCTTTTTAATTTTGATTAACCTTTGATTAACATTGGCCTTTAAGAAAGCTAAGTACTAGCGGAGTTCTTTCGCCGTTTCTTCTCAGGACAAGACAAGTAGATTAAAAAAACATGTTGATGTTTGCCAAACGAAATTATTTCTTACGTCAAAAAAAACAGAATTTTTATTTCCATTTTCATAAGTTTTATGTTATCTGGTGCTATTGGTCTAGTGGTCGTGAATGTGATTTCTGATCTAATGGTCCCGGGTTCCAATCCCGGGTCGGGCCAAGTTATTGGGTTTTTCTTTCAAGAAATTCTCAGTAGTAACCCATAGTCAGGAAGTTGGCGTTGTTTCACCCCCGTGACTCGGAAAGCACGTAAAGTCGTTGAGTCCTGCGCCTGATCATTCTCTGGTTGTGTTGGTTCCCATCGGACTATGAGAGTTAGGGAATAGAGATTACAACTTGGGACTGATATTCGGTCTCGAAGACATTACTTATGTGGTGGCGCTGTCGTCGCGCTACAAGCGAAACACACCGAAGCCTAAATCACGCTATCAACATTCCGAATCATAAAACAGTATATATAGAACATCTCCAAACTATCACATGGAGTGTCGGCCGCTCCCCAGGCAGAACACCTTGCCCGGTGGGAGATCTCCCCTTTCCTTTCACGGCCACAGTGGTGACCCCGACGTGATCTGAACATGCAACCAACAACCTTCGGAAACTTCAAGCTTTCATCATCGTCATAAATACCCCACCCATTCGCTCCCGAGCAGATATCGTCTGCAGTCTTCATATCCTACAAGCCATCTAGCTTCACAAGGTTCATCGTAGCACTGGAATAATAATGCTTCCTGTTCCTTCAAGCTACTCTCTGCGCTATACAGTGTTCGGCACGGCTCTAAGCCTTACTGCTCGCCTCTGCTTCACGGCACTCTCGCAGATTACTTGCCTTCTTCTCGACTCACCGCAGACTACAAGGCAATCTCCTGGCACTTGCACATTCGTCGGCAACGAGGCTGCACTATCGACCTCCGGTCTGAGCAGGGGGGTGATGTGGTGGCGCTGTCGTCGCGCTACAAGCGAAACACACCGAAGCCTAAATCATGCTATCAACATTCCGAATCATAAAACAGTATATATAGAACATCTCCAAACTATCACATGGAGTGTCGGCCGCTCCCCAGGCAGAACACCTTGCCTGGCGGGAGATCTCCCCTTTTCCTACTACAGCCACACTTATGCTCTCACTTTCATGTATTAACCAAATTGTCTGTTATCCTCAGTGCCTACTCCTGCTCAGTTACTTGGTACGAAATGGCTCTGAAAGAGTGGTGACCTCAGCAAGGGAGCACATATACGATCTCAGGTCCTTGGAGAACTACACCTATGTTGACGATCTGGGGAAAGACCAGGTAAGAGAAATTGTTAATATCACTAGAGTTTGATATAGAAAAAAACTGTCAGTCACTAAACTGCATATCAGAAGTGAAAACTTAGCTTCCCAAACATTATTTTTAGGTTGTTAAGAAAAATTTTTAGGAAATATTTTTATTAGGAATTATTTTAATTAATATAGTAATAAAATTTTCATTTATTTATCTTTTTACATGAAAAAGAAATGATTATTATCTATTAAATGCAAGAAAATTATAATACATATTGATTTTATGAAATTAGAACAATTTTGTTTTCAACATTACTTTCATCGATTTTGTGTATCTGATGACGATCACGCGAGTACAGTGCTTATCAAAAGTGTCCAATGGGCCTAAAGAAGTTTTCATTTTTAAAACCTTTTCTTTTAAAGCTGACTTTCCACTATGGTATATAATATAATTTATATTACATCTCGAGATATAAATTAATATCGCTCACCGTACTTTTAAATGGAACTGTTTCCACTGAGATATATATTACATCCCAAACTATAAATATTTTTTCGATCGACCGAGCGATAGTTTCATATTATAATTAACCTCCTGTACCTCGCACACCCTTACGCGCCTCCGCTACGTCTTCAGATCTTCCAATGACGAACGCACACTGGTTAAAAGATATATCTCACAGTGTGAAGGGCAATCGTGTGAAGGGTATAATTTATATTTCGGGATATAATATATATTATATCCTATAGTGGAAAGCCAGCTTAACATAAAGTATTTTGTCATCCAGGGTATTAATGTAAGGCACAAGGTGCGAGAACTGATCGACTTCATTCAAGACGATGAGAAGTTACGAGAAGAGAGAAAGAAGGCGAAGAAGAACAAGGACAAATATATTGGTGAGTGCATGAGAAACTTGATTATTAACATCCTGTTGGCAAGTGATCATTTGCACTGTGTGGATGGTAGTTTAAATTACTGTTTCTTTGGAAAGTCATAGAAATCCAGCTAATTCTTCTTCTCATTTAAAAAGAAAAATGGCTCCATCGTTTAACCGATGATACTCTGCCGATTTCAAGGTCAAAACCATGTGTATTTTGACTAGTAGTTTTAAATACAATTTTGTGCATGACCCAAGAAGTTGAGATACTGTAGCCGTGCAAGGAAAAGGGGAGATCTCCCGCCGGGCAAGGTGTTCAACTCGGGGAGCGGCCAACGCTCCGTGTGATAGTTAAGAGTTATTCTATATTTACTGTTTTAATTCGGAATTTTGATAGCGCGATTTGGGCATCAATGTGATTTAAAAAGAAAAATCGTTCCATCGTTTAACCGATGATACTCTGCCGATTTCAAGGTCAAAACCATGTCTATTTTGACTAGTAGTTTTAAATACAATTTTGTGCATGACCCATTTCGTTTGTGGCGTGACGACAGCGCCGCCACAATACCTAAGAAGGAAATAAACACTACTAGATTAGTTTATCAATTATATCCGTCAGGACAGTCTTTTAAGATACCCCATCAGGGTAAGGTAGTATTAGAAACAAAGAATTTTCCTTTTGACTCAACACCTGTTTAGTAATCTACCTATTATTCCAGCCAAAACCAGTTTAAAGTGTCAAAAACATGCTTATTCATGTATAAAATGCTAACGAAATTATTCTCCATTACTTGAAACATGAATTTATGATTAAAATGTAATTAAGAACGTTATGATGACGTGTTCATTTCTAACCCAGGAATGTCTTCGGAGGCCGCAGTGATGGGCGTCCGCGGGGGTGGTGGAGGGGGCGGAGGCGGCGGATGGGGGGAGTACAGTGACCGAGCCGCTCCAGGCTGGGGTGAGTTCAAAATACCGCCTCACTGCTGACCCACTTATAACCTATTAAGTACTCCTGGTATCATTATTTTCGCTACTATTGGAGCACTAATACTGCTGCTTCAACACGGTCTCTTTTCACTTGGTCACTTGTGTCAATCTTGAATGATTCGTTCATTTGCCCTGGCTTGCAAAGTATTGATGATTGCAATAACATTTTTTGAATGTCGGAACATTCAATCGTTTGACCCGGAGGTTTAGTAGTGTAGTAATGTCCGACGACCGACATTATCTAGCGAGTCTCACAGATCATCAAGTATTGTAACTCGAAATGATCCATTTGAATGATTGAACCGAATGACCCGGTTCGTAGTACTAATCAATACTTGAATGATCGGGTAAAAAACCTAATTTAGGTAATTGTTACTGATGTAAGAGGTCTACCACAACTACTTCCTTTTCAAAATAGTCACAAGCTCTCTTGTGTCCTTTAAGCGCCATACCTTTTGGTATTTTCCAAGTGTAATGCTTACGGGGGAAGAAAGATACGCTCAACTCAACCAATCGTAAGAATTCACAAGTAAATTAATATGGAGAATATTTTTTATTTGGTTCACAATTTTTATACGTGGTAGAGCCATGCTGCAGTTATATTAGTAGTATAGTTGTAGCACGAATAGGTCGGCTCGACCGGGGAAGGACCACGCTTTCACAGAATACCAGCGTGAAATAGTAGCTTAATGCTGCTGTATTTCATATGGTGAGTGTAGAGAACCGGAGACCCTTTTTACTGGAAACGAGGCATTCCATCTCAGTCCTCACGGGTGACAACGCATCTGCATTTTGATTTTTAATGGAGGATAGATGTAGATGTCTATGGGCCGCAGCAACCACTTACCATCAGGTGGACTGTGTGCTCGTTTGTTCTATAAAAAAAAAATGTAACATTTACATGGTTCAGGTAAAATAAAAAAAGTAACAAACAAACGTTCTTTCTAATAACAGTGAACACAGCATGCAATAAGTGGACAAGATAACAGATACAAATAAAGAAATGAAAAAAAAAAACTCTAATATAATAAATATTAATTGACTAATGGCTAATCAAATGTTAGCTCTAGCTGAGGCCTTAGGACCATGAAAGATGTCGAACAAATCACGAATATTATTACAACCTATAGTCATTATGTACAATGGCGAGTGATGACCTGCCACTGTTTTATAGTGTGGCGTAAATATAAATACTCAGCTCGAAGTATGAAAAATATGAATGAACGCTCAGCGAAGAGACATGCTTGTGACAACAAAATGGCGATACCGCTACTATTCATCAATTGGAAACACGCGCATTAGTTTCTGCTTCTATTACGTCTGCAGCCTGGGTGCGTTAATAAATGTTGCCAGTATAAGATGTCCAACATTTGCAATGTTTCAGATGACGTGAAAGAGAGAAACGACGATGACGACTATGAGCGAGACGACTCCGACGGTGATTATGGTCACAGAAAACCTCAAAAGTAAGTCTTTTCCATATCTAAATAAGTTTCAGAGTATCTATGGTTATCCGTACCGTCAAACCGATACACAGGGACAAAGCTATATGAAAAGAGAAAGCTGTCCTCAGGGGTAATAAATAACCTTATAACACAACTGTTATATTTGTTTGAGATATATCAATAGCCCATTGTCAAGTGCACTTTTAGTTTTGCCTTATACTCATCATTAATACAGCCCTTCACAAATACACTGCTCTAAACATAGGCCTCCCCCAAGGAATGCCACGAAGCACGGTCTGATTCCTAATTCACCTGCATACATCGACTTTCTGCATGTCCGACCAGGTCCCCACTCCATCTAGTGAAGGTTCCCACTACACTTCGCCTACTGGTACCAGGTACTCGAGAACCTTTCTTCCCCATCGTTTGTCAGTTCTTAGAGCTATATGGCCGGCCCATTGCTACTTTAGCTTACTAATCCGTTACGCTAGTTCCACTGCGGATATCCTTAATAGTTATAGAAATAAACATAATATAAGTTTAGTAATGGTGAAAATATGGAATAACTTGTTAAAATATTTTTGACATTTAGCAGTTATTGGAAATTATGTGACGATTTATTGATTTTTTGTAGGTATTTGATATTTATTAGATTTAAAAACTAGACGCTAAAATATTTTTAAATAGTTGCATATAGGTAGTTGGCATTAGTTAAATAAATAATAGTTTAGTGTACTCGTGTATAAGTAAAGATATTTGCGTGCAGTTATCACGGTAGATTGTTAGGTCCATTATATTATGTAGTACATTCTGGCAATAAATAAAATTGAATTGAAATGGAACCAGGAACTTTTTTATTAATTATAGATAATAAATAATACTTATTGGAAGTCTCTCTTTTGTTTAATGTATAATGTAATAAAAGTAGCAATAAGTTATTGAAAGTCTTTTGTTTAATTTACCACTGGTTAGAGTAAACACCTCTGTCCTGGGAAAAACGAACAAGCAGCAGGACTTACTTTGCAAATAAATAACAGCTTACAATCATATTATATGTTACCTAATTAACAACACAACACAAATTATAAAGAGCTTGGTAGTAATGACTTCATTCCTAGGGGTTATTATCATCCATAAATTCCTTAATATTATAATAACCCTTATTATACGAATCTTTTTAATAAAGTTTTTGAACCTTATAATGAATTACTGACTTAGTGGAGTCGAATTAATTTAAACGGGATGATCTGTTTAAAGATAAAAATAACGTTTTTATATTTAGAGAGAACGTATACCGCGACGCGGAAGTTATAGAGGACAGCCCCCGCTTGTCGAGAGAGCCGCGGCCTGATGATAAGAAACTGGAGAGGAGCGAATCTCTGAAGAAGCCTCTTAGTATCAGCCTTCGCAGTCCTGCCAAGAGCAAACCTGCAACACCCGTGAAAAAGATTGACCTCGGTATGTGATTTACAATAGAGTAATTTTTTACTCAATACTAGCGATCTGCCCTGGCTTCGCTCAGGTGATTTCTGGATCTCAATAACAGCGCCACCTACCGGATCTAGTTGTGAATATAAACCATCCAGGCACCCAATCAAACACACAAAAAATTTCATCAATATCGGTAGAGCCATTTTCGACCGGGGATACCCACGGAATGAAGTTGAGTGATAGATTCTCTGTCAAATCCCCTTTAGTATATTTATAAATACACTAGCTTGCCAGGTAGACGTTGTTCTGCCCTTTTCGACGACCCTTTGTCATGACCTATTAAAATCCTTAAATTTGCAAAAAAATATTTGGGTCACTCATGGGCAAAAAAACTATCCTATCTCTCAAGTTGGACCAAACCGCACACGGTGTGCAAATCGGTTAAGTAGTTTAGGAGTCCATCGCGTACGAACAATGTGACACGTAATTTATATATATGTTAAAATAAATATTTATTATTTATGAATATATTAAAAGAACACATATAAAAGGTAGTGTTTAAAAAAAGTTAATAAAATATACCCCAAGAGGTACTATAAACAATTTATGTAAACACACTACCTTCATATTATAGGTGCTGCAGCTTCATATGGCAAGGTCAGCACAGCACCATCAACTGCCCCAGCCAACGCCAGCTCCCAGAACAATTCACAAGACCTGTTGGACGACTTGTTCAAAACCTGTCCCGCACCGAGCAGCGGCAGCACGTCACTTGTTCTGGAAGACGACTTCGACCCTAGGTGAATATACAGTGTCGTTTGTAAGACTTGTAACACAAAACTCACACATTTTTAGTAGAGTCATCATCATCATCGTCATTACAGCCCTTCACAAGCCCACTGCTGAACGTAGGCCTCCCCCAAGGAATGCCACAAAGCACGGTCCTGAGCCACCTGCATCCATCGACTTTCTGCATGTCTCACCAGTTCGTCACTCCATCTAGTGGGGGTATGAGGTTGCCACTTAAGAACCTTTTTTCCTTATCAGTTATTCGAGTTATATGGCCGGCCCATTGCCACTTCAGCTTATTAATCCGTTGGGCTACTTCGGTTAATAGACTAGAATAGAATAATTTTTAATCAATACTAGCTGTTTAACGCTACGACGTCCGCGTGGAATTTATTACGTTTAGAATTCATAGATATTATTTTTTTTTTGCGCGGAACTCTAATTCTTTTCTTAAATAAAAGTAGCATTAGTTGCTCCTTATAACATCATCTATTTGCCAGTGATAGTCTCTTCAAAATTTGTCATTTGTCATTTCAGACGTTCACGGACCAAACACACAGAGAGAAATTATTAACCATTAATCTATACATAAATAATCTATACATAAATAGTCTATACACATATTTAATAAAGATGAAGTCTCTGTCTGTAACAGTGGTAGAGCCACGCGGCAGCTTTGCTGTTGCACGTATGGGCCGGCTCAAACCGGGGTGGTACCACCACCTCACAATACCGGCGTCAAGGGGAAGCTCTCTCTTTTCCGAGCAAACAAAGTACGAGGTGGTTCAATGATATTGGGTTTAAATGATGTTAAATGTGAGGAAGATGCCTTCTGCAAAAAACTATATAAAATACTATATACATCTGAACATTTTGACATTTGTGGTGTTAAAGACACAAACTCACATATTTATGTTTGTTGTTGCTATCGGAGTCCTATACAGAGAAATTTTGATCTTTTTATGGAAAGATTAGACCGATTTTCTGAACATTTTTTTAATAAGAAATTTATATTGTGCGGTGACTTCAACGTTAATTTATTGAACAATGATAAACAACAAAATGAATTTTTGAATTTGTTGACTTGTTACAATTTCAAATAATTAATTGACTCAGCAACCTTTTTGCGCAATGATGTAACATCTTGTCTTGACAGTGTAATTACTAATATAGATACAACAAATATTGACAGTAGAGTAGAGCATAATGGTCTCAGAGACGTTCACGCTGGTTTATTTTGTACAGTAGAATTGGAAAATAAAACGAGTCGTAACATGAATGAAGGTTAAAAATTAGTCGTAGAGTTTTAAGTGACCACAACTCAGCAGAATTTAGGAAGCAAATTAGCAAAATAAATTGGCACAATCTAGGAATAAATTATTTTCTCAATAAATTAAGTTACACTTTCAAAACTTGTTATAAGAAAAGAAGGAGAAAAATACATCCTAAAAAAAACACATTACAGTGGATCACTAAAGGTATTAGGGTTTCAAATAAAATGAAAAGGTTTCTGACATTAAATGTTAAAATATGTAATGGAGTGTTTGCAGATAATTATAAAAGGTCATATATACAGATATATAAAAGAATATTGAGAAAAGCAAAACAAATAGCTATACAAAGAAAAATTGAGTCTGCATTAAATTCTAATAAAGAAATCTGGAATATTGTAAATGGAAGTAGGAAAAATTCGTTTCGTAAAAAAGAAGAGAATATACTACTAAAGGTAAACAATAACATCGTAAATAATAAACAGGATGTAGCAAAGGTTTTCTCAAGTCATTTTAGTAAAACTAATTCATTAAGCAAAAGCGCTAGTGATTCAATCTCCGCACAATTAATTCTCAAACAAAGTGTGCAGAAAATTGTAACAGACATGCCTTTTAAGATTATTACTAGCCATGAAATTTTAAAAACAGTTAAGCAAATGGAAAATAAAAGATCACATGGTTATGATGAAATACCCATCAAGATTATTAAAGATAATATTGATATATTGGCTGAATCTTTAGCTTATCTTTTCAATAAGTGTGTGGAACAATCTCTGTTTCCTGATCAGCTTAAGGTTGCATGAGTACTTTCAGTACATAAAAAGGGAAGTAAAATGGACCTCAAAAACTATAGACCGATTTCCTTGCTACCAATTTTATCAAAAATTTATGAAAAGCTCATAAAGGTAAGACTAGTAGCACATTTGCGACAAAATAATATGTTAAGTGAGAAGCAATTTGGTTATCAAACCCGTGTAGGTACTATAGATGCTATAAATACGCTAGTCGATGATGTAGTATGTAGACTCAACGATAAATATAAGGTAGGAGGTCTATTTTTTAGACTTGAGTTCGGCTTTTGACACGATAAATCATAATATACTACTACTGAAATTGGAACATTAAGGAGTTAGAGGCTCAATCTTAAGGTTATTCGACATCCTACTTATCATAGAAAACAATTTGTTGAGATTAAAACAATAATAGACGGCGTCGAAACGATATACAAATGATTTCTTATATTTACGCGAACACTACACATTGAAATAATACTAGTTTTTGTCATGCAAAACTTGCTTGAAATGGTGGAGCTCGGCAGCCAGGTGTTTACTGTCACGAGGGATCTGTGTGTGTCAATTAAAACCCGCGTTAAAGAACATATAGCTGATGTGAAGAATCGACACTCCGGGAAGTCTGCAGTCTGTGAACACGTACAGGATCGCCCCCGTCACTACATCAGATTTGATAGACCACAAATCCTCGCTAAAGAACACCGATTCCTTCCAAGGATGATTCGCGAGGCTATTGAAATCAAAAAACATCCTAATTTCAATAGAGAAGATGGCTGGGTGCTACCAGCTGCTTGGTATCCTATAATAAATAAAATTAAATCCTAACCCAAGCATAAAACTGCAAGACTTCAAGATACCATAAGTTCATACTGCATAGATCGGAACAAAAGTTAAATTTTAATCTATGGTAACCGTGGTTAACTATGACATATGGACGTTGAACATCTCAGTCCCGCCCGTGACCATGAGTGCTGTAAAGCGTTCGAAACGTCGGGTATTTAAAAAGTTAAATATACGCGATAAATTCCGTAAAAACTAGTATTATTTCAACGATATACAAATCTAAATTGAAAACCTTAAAGAAAGGTGTTCCACAAGGCTCCATTTTGGGACCCATATTATTTATAATATTCATTAATGATTTAACTGCTTACATACATACCAAAGAGCAAGACGTAAAGTTAACTATTTATGCGGATGATACAAACGCGATTGTATGTGCTAACTCGATAGACGAACTAAATACCAAAATGAAAAGCATACTGTACTTGTACTTTAAAAATTGGTTTGCTACTAACGATCTACTACTAAATACAAATAAAACGTACGCAATGCTTTTCAAATCTACAGCAAGACAATAGGACTCAATAAATATTAACATTGACGGTAAAAATATTGACTCTGTTCAATCAGTAAAATTTCTAGGAATCCACATTGACATGTATTTGAACTGGAAAAAGGAAATGACAGCACTAGAATTTATTATCAGTTCAGCATGCTATGCCTTAAGAAGTTTACGAGACGAAGTTACGTTAAAGCAGCTTAAGTTTGTTTAATTTGCTCTAGTAGAATCACAACTTCGTTATAGCATACAATTCTGGTGCAACAGTTATAAATATAATATTAAGATAGCGTTTGTATTACAAAAAAGAGCGATCCGCACCATGTTACGTATTCCACAAATTGATTCGTGTAAAGAACATTTTCGAAAACTTGGCAAACTTACGGTTCTCTCTCCGTATGTCTTAGTTTCACTTACATATTAAGTAAAAAAAAAATTACGAATATGAAACAAACAAAGAAAGGAAAAAGAGAGAAATAACACATCGAAAAGATTTAAAAACTCCAATTACACCAACATTGAATGTTGTACGCCACAGCACAAGGCATCAAGCCATTGCACTATTTAATTCTTTACCTATCTCATTTAAAGTTATTTATTGCCACCGAAAATTCCAAAATAAACTCAAATCATTATTAATTAAGAAAAGCTACTACTCAGTTGACGAATACCTAAATGACAAAAATAAACTTAAATGACATGAAAAGTATTAAATGTATATAAGTATATAGAATGATTGTCAAATGATATTTAAATTTTATTCGATTTTAGTTTTATTTAAGTCAATTGCATGTAAACGTAATTTTTGATTTTGTGTAATTAATTTTCCAATACAATGTAATATTGTTCTATGGAATAAATGATTAATGACTAATGACTAATCTGCTTCCGCGTTTCGTCTGGTGAGTGCAGGTGGCCGGAGGCCCAAATCCCCCCCCCCCCCATCGACATGGTAGCGGAATTAAATGATGATAGACTACCCCAGGAGGGTACCAGCACCCCCGGAGAATCCCTCGCTGAGCATCCACGACCATGTTTCTCCACTTCTCACGAGCGTGGGTGCTCAGGCTGCGGGGGGGCAAAATTCCGCTCAAGACTACAACTGCTCGGGGCAAACGGAGCAACAAGACCAAGGCGACCCCTGCCACGCTGTCCGTGAATTTCTGCAATATCAGGGGACTTCATTCTAACCTAAACGCCGTCCACTACCATCTCGAGACGGCGAGGCCGGCTCTGCTCTTTCTGACCGAGACGCAGGTGTCCTCTCCGGCTGATGTCTCGTATCTCTCCTACCCGGGGTACAAACTGGAACACTCCTTTGTGCCTCGGGCTGGAGTTTGCGTTTACGTCAGAGAGGATATCTGTTCTCGACGCCTCGGCAAGATTGAAGGTTCGGACCTGTCCATCCTTTGGCTACGCGTAGACAGCGACGACCATCCGCGCGTCTACGGGTGCCTCTATAGGTCCCATAGCGGTAATGCCGAAACAGACCGACTCTTCGACCACGTCCAAATGGCTACAGATTCGTTGCTACAGCAGATCCCCTCCGCAGAGATCGTGATCCTCGGCGACTTTAACGCTCATCACGCCGAATGGCTTGGTTCACGTTTAACCGATCATGCGAGGAGATCTGTTCATGATTTTGCCTTGGCATATAGTCTGACACAACTGGTTACTTCGCCTACGCGGATTCCAGATGTGGAGGATCATGCACCTTCTCTGTTGGACCTCCCCTTCCCTGCTGACCTCTCACCCGGACGGATATCAGATTTCCGTCGAAGCCCCTTTAGGCTCCTCAGACCTCTTGTCCGGAGTGTGGTGCCACTCTCGCTGAAATCGCAATAGCATTCTGCAGGCTGCCGCCGTGTTTGGCGCTATAGGTCAGCCGATTGGGATGGGATGAGGTCTTTCTTTGCATCCTACCCTTGGGGGTTTGGTTTGGGTTTGGGTTTGCTTCTCGCCGGACGATCCCAACGTTGTTGCGGATTCTGTCGCTGATGTGGTACTTCAGGGTATGGAACTTTTTATTCCCTCCTCTGAGGTGCCCATTGGAGGCAAATCTCAGCCATGGTTTGGTCGCTCCTGTAAAATAGCATCATGCTATAAGCAGGAGTGCTACCGAGCCTGGGCTGACGCATCAGCGTCCCGGGATGTAAACACCAGCGCTCTAAAAAAGAAGTATAATTCCGCCTCTAGGTCCTTCAAAAGAGTCATTGCTAAGGCAAAGTCAGAGCACATAGGCAGAATTGACGAGAAACTAGTTCACCTTCCTTCTGGAACCACGTGCATTCTGGTCTCTCGCCAACTCCAGGGGAATTTCTGTCAGCCATCTCTTCCATCTCTGCACAGGAGGACGACTCACTGGCCCATACCGCAAAGGAGAAAGCCGATCTTCTAGGCTCTTTCTTTGCGTCCAACTCGACTCTCGATGACGGGGGGAGTACGCCGCCGACCATCCCGCGGTGTGAGTGCTCCATGCCGGAAGTGCAGTTTACACAGCGCTCGGTTCGCAAAGCACTCCTCTCCCTGGACATCCACAAGTCGAGTGGGCCTGACGGAATCCTCCCAATTGTGCTGAGGACGTGTGCTCCAGAGTTGGCACCGGTTTTAACGCGTCTTTTCTGGTACTCTTACTCCCTAGGCGTGGTCCCAAAATCATGGAAGACGGCTTTCGTCCACCCGATCCCTAAAAAAGGCGACCGCTCAGACCCGTCCAACTGCCACCGGCCTATCGCCATCACCTCTTGTTCTCCAAAACAATGGAGTCCCTATTGTTTAACTGCCAGCTCATGAGGTACCTTGAGGATCACCAGCTGATTAGTGACCGCCAATACGGTTTTCGCCGTGGTAGGTCAGCTGGTGATCTTCTGGTCTACCTAACTCACAGATGGGCGGAGGCAGTAGAGTCCAAGGGGGAGGCATTGGCCGTTAGTTTGGACATTGCGAAGGCCTTCGATCGGGTTTGGCACAAAACGCTTTTTTCGAAGCTCCCTTCCTATGGGCTTCCCGAGAAATTGTGCGATTGGATCACCAGCTTTCTTGCAGATCGGAGCATCAAGGTCGTTGTAGACGGTGCAAGCTCCGACTGCAAGCCTATTAATGCTGGTGGTCCACAAGGCTGCGTGCTATCGCCAACGCTGTTTCTTCTGCATATCAATGATATGTTGCAAACACGTAACATTAATTGCTGTGCAGATGACAGCACTGGTGATGCTCTGTACACCGGCCGAGCCAATATTTCTCGGGAAAACGTCTCCGAGTACCGGGACAAACTTGTGTCTGAAGTCGAGTCCTTGCTGAACAGAGTCTCGGATTGGGGGCGACTAAATCTAGTCCAGTTTAACCCCCAGAAGACACAAGTTTGCGCGTTAACCGCTAAAAAGAACCCCTTTGTCGTATCTCCTCAGTTTCAAGGCACTCCCCTTGTTGCCTCAGCCAGTATGTGTTGCGGTTGATCATGGGCGGCGGTAGTCACTTAACATCAGGTGAGCCGCATGCTCGTTTGCCCCTTCTTTTATTAAAAAAAATTATTGTAGTTGTGTTTATTTATAAAATAAGGGTGACAAACGAACACAGAGTCCACCTGGTGGTAAGTGGGTGCTGTGGCCCATAGACTTCTACATTTATCCTCGATTAGGAATCAAAATACAGATACTATACGAAGCACAGCAGCATTATTTTACGCTGGTATTCTGTGAGAGCGTGGTCCTGCCCGGGTTGAGCCAACCCATTCACGCTACAACTATAATATAGATGATTATGTAATTTATTACGTTTTACTAAGGGAGTTACTTGCATGCTACTAAAACATAAATAACCCTTTTGAAAATTTTTGTCTGTCTGGGAAATTTCAGTTTTTGCAAGATTGCTTGTAACCGATGGACTTAGTAACAAATGATCATAAATTTTGTTTTGTATCCACAGAGCTGAAGAACGGAAGAATTCTGTCCCAACAGAAACGGACTTTGGGGACTTCTCGCGAGCGTTTGGGGCTTCACCACCCATAGCCCCGTCCGTTCCAACTGTCCCCTCTGTGTCCGGAGCACCCACACAATCTGACGACAGCTTCGCAGACTTCACCAGTGCATTCTCCGGCCAAATGCAACCGCCACCTGCTAATAGTGGTAAATACTTCAATAACTCTGTTTCCTTAGCATCATAGTCAACTTTGATAATGTCCTCCACACCGAATTTCGGTCATGGTGGCCAATCTCAACGGAAACTAACCATCTGAGCAGGACAGGATTGATATGAAGGAAATATTTCGTCATCGTAATAACAATTTAAATAATAAAAAAACTGAGGTTGCCAACCTGCTTGCCAATCATCCATAAAAGGCAATCTATCCAATGGTTGCAGGTGGCTCAGGACCATGCTTTGGGACATTCCATGGGAGAGACCTGTGTTCAGCAGTAGATTTAAGCAGTGCTGTAATGATGATGACGAAGTAAAAGATGATGTAGGTAATCTGTTGGGGAAGCCTATGTTCAAAAGTAATGTAATGATGACAATAATGGTGATGTTGATGACTGCCTTGTGATCTAGTGGTCTTAAACGCGCTTACTAGTCATGAGGTGCTCATTCAAATCCCAGGGTTGGGCCAAAATCATTTATTGGGTTTCCTGTCAAGAAGTTTTCAGTAGCAGCCTGGAGTTGGGAAGATGGCGGTGTCTCATTGAAAGACACGTAAAGCAATTGGTCCTGCGCCTGATCTTTGATCGTATCATTTGACTGTCCTATTGGACTATGAGAGTGAGATAATAGAGAGTGCACCTGTGCTAGCACATACACTCTGGCACTATAATCCTAGTCTCCGTAAAGATTGGCCGCCGTGACTGAAATTCGGTCTGGAGGACATTATTATCATTATTTTATATTTAAACCTATGTTTTTATTATGTGATGATTAATATCGGTTTACAAATGTTGAAGATATTGTGTGTAGTTAATACAATTAAATTAATTGATACTGCAGGTCAAAGCGTTTCTTTTGTTCTCACTCATTCTGAAACGCCAAACCGGGACATTTAAAAAAAAGGGAACTTTATCCTTTTACAAAGTTTCCAGAAATCATAAAGGTGGTTATGATTAAGTTATATTGAAGAAAATATAACAAAATCTTTTTTATAGAATAAGGGTTACAAACAAGTACAGTCTACCTGGATGTAAGTGGATGCTGTGGCCCATACACACCAAAAAATTTCCTCAATGAGGAAACAAAATGCAGAAGTGTTGTCACCCTTGTGGACTACGATGGAATGCCAGTCAAAAGGGTCTTCGGTTCTCTACACTCACCATATGAAACACAGCAGCATTATTGCTGTTATTAAAATTATTAATATGATACTAAATCTAGTAAATATATTTTAATTTGTAGTTCCATCAACACCAGCATCGAACCTGGACCTTCTCGGCGATCTCAGTCCGCCTCCAATCGCTCCAGCACAGTCCAGCTTTAGTTCAGATCTTGACTCTTTGACGGGGCAGTTCAATGCGACCACACTACAACCTATGCAACAAGGTAAAAACTTTTCTCTTTAAATTTAACAATACTACATGTCTCATGAATTTGTTATCTAAATCACCTATGTATTCTGTGAATAGTTCTTAGATTAAAACTAGACTTGCAATGAATAGTATATTCGGCCATACACTGAGTACCAAAAATTTTGCTGTCTTTGTGGGCTTATAGCCCAATATTAGGCACAAGTGTTCGGCCGGAAAGCATCTTTTCTCTAAACCTGTGATTGTCTATGAGAAGAAAAACATTAAAGCACTGCCTCAAAATGCAGAAAAATTAGTCTTACTGCACCATAATTTTCAACTTCTAGATTTTAAATTATAATTATATATATTACGATACGATACGATATATATTACGATAATTCAAGTGCATAGTTAGATAAAGTGCAAGTGCATTGATAAATAGATTTTTATTTATTTTTGTAATACGGAATTTCATTATTGATGACTAAATATTATTGATATGATGACTAAATATTACAAAAAAAATCTAGAATTTTAATATGTTAGGGCCCCATTGTCAAAATAGCACGAATGGGTCGGCTCGATCGGGGAAGGACCCCGCTCACAGAATACCAACGTAAAATAGTAGCTTAATGTTGCTGTGTTTCGTATGTTGAGTGTAGAGAACTGGAGAACCGTTTTAATGAAATCGAGACATTCCATCTTAGTCCTCAGGGGTGACAACGCATCTGCATATTGATTCTTAATCTACGTTAAATGTAAATGTCTACTATACTATACTAATGTAAACTTTTACTAAAGTAACCGAATGTCGAACAATAGCAGAATATTCATTGCAAGTCTAATTAAAACTCCATTCAGCATTGATTTAGATAGATATAAGAATTTGCCTACAGTGACATTCTGGATCATAAAGTAATATTACTGTCACTATCATCACCATCACTACAGCCCGTCACCAGTCCACTGCTGACATGAGTGTCCCCCATAGATTGCCACATAGGACCTCATAGTTACATAAAGTAATAAATGCACTATTAACTAACAACACTTGAAAAAGACAATCGACTAACCACGGCTTCGTAGAGCGTCGTCTCTGTCACGCATGTCTGTTTAACGTTTCTTTCTTTCTTTGGTAATAGACTTGTACGGTTGTACTTTTGCCACTGTCAAGTATTATGAAACTATTATTTACAATAACTTATTTAGAAACTTCTTCACAATATATTGATGCGCCTCATCGTGAAGTTTGTGGGAGATTTTGACGGCAGCTGAGTCAGCAAACGGTCAAGTAACTTGAGGTTCACATTACCATCGAAGCATTTATTTCATTATTTTCAGTAAAAGTTTACATACGTAGACTTTTAATAGACAAAATCGCACAACTTTTATGTATTACTAAAAACCACTCTAAGTTCCCGCTAAAACTCGTGTGACGTTTCGTCGCTGACTTGTCAGTCGTAAAAGATGTTTATGGAACGTTTAGATTATCGCACGAACACTCACCGAATAATTCGCAGAGTTATTCGTGGACGAGTGCGACGCGTTTACGTATTCATCTGTATTCGTTCAACATAGATTTTTTAAACGTGGAGGCCGTGCGTTTCTTTGTTGCGAATTATTGTCTGCTTAACTTTCATAGACTCTATATATTTTAAATGGAAAAAGAAGAAGCTAAGCTAATGATTTCTAATACTGCCGAATAAGACGGCAGTATTAGGAATCATTATAGTATTAAGCTGAACTGAGCACATTTAATATTTTTTGTATATTTTGACTAAGAAAGGAAATAGAGAAAATTATAAAGGTAGATTAGCCGAGTGAATTATAAAGATAGTTCACGGATCAACTGAAAATGACGAGTATGTAGACACCGATATGAATCATCATCATCATCATCATTACAGCCCTTCACAAGTCCACTGCTGAACATAGGCCTCCCCCAAGTAATGCCACAACGCACGGTCCTGAGCCACCTGCATCCATCGACTTCCTGTATGTCTTACCAGGTAGTCACTCCATCTAGTGGGGGGTCGCCCTACACTACACTTACCGGTACGAGCCTGACACTCGAGAACCTTTCTTCCCCATCGGTTATCGGTTCTTCGAGCTATATGGCCGGCCCATTGCCACTTCAGCTTACTAATCTGTTGGGCTATGTAGGTCACTCTGTTTTTACTGCGGATATCCTCATTTCTGAGTATCACTCAGAGAAACTCCGAGCATAGCCCTCTCCATAGCTCGCTGAGCGACCTTGAGCGTCCTCAAACGGCCAGCAGTGAAGGACCACGTCTCTGATCCGTAAATCATCACTGGCCACACGCACTGGTTATACACTTTAGTTTTCAGAGATTGAGGTATACCTGATGAGATGTGTCGTAATTTCCCGAACGCTGCCCAGCCGAGTTGAATCCGTCGATTGACCTCTCGGTCGAAGTTGGACTTACCTAATCAGACTATTTGTCCCAGGTAAACGTACTCGTCAACAACTTCGAGCATAGTGCTCCCCACAACTACCGGCATAGGTGTGACATGGACATTAAACATGATATTTGTTTTGTCCATGTTCATCTTAAGACCTATCCTTTCCAGTCCAGTAGCTTGAAAACGTCTTCCAACGCAGCGGTGAAGAGTTTCGGGGGATATAACATCACCCTGTCTTACACCTGTCTGCAGTTGGATAGGTTTCGAACTCCGGTTCTGTACTCGGATAGCCATCATAGCCCTATTGTATAAACACTTCAGCACTTCGATATACCGACAGTCAACTTGGCACCGCTGAAGGGACTGTAGCACCGCCCAAATTTCGATGGAATCAAAGGCTTTCTCATAGTCCACATACGCCAGGCAAAGTGGCAGATTGTACTCTTCGGTCTTCTGTACAATCTGCCGCAGGGTATGTATGTGATCTATGGTACTGAAGCCTTTTCGGAAACCGGCTTGTTCGGGAGGCTGGAAGTCGTCGAGTTTGCGTGCGAGACGATTCGTAATGACTCTCGAAAACAGCACGTAGACGCGGCTCAGAAGGGAAATCGGTCTGTAGTTCTTCAAGAGAGCGTTGTCGCCTTTCTTAAAGAACAAGACCACCGCACTTCTGCTCCACGCCTCCAGAGTAGTGCCACCATGGAGGACGGAATTGAAGAGCTTCTGAAGGACTTCAAGTACCGGTGTTCCACCCGCTTTCAGAAGCTCCGCTGTAATTCCATCCTCGCCTGGGGCCCTGGCGTTTTTAAGGTGCTGGAGAGCCATTCTAATCTCGCTCAGACTGACGTCCGGGATATCATCGGAATAGTGTCGGGTAAGACTTGCTCTTGGATCGTTACTCACACTTACGTGTTGCTCCAACGATGATGTGTACAGCTGTCCATAGAACCTCTCTATCTCACTCAAAATCTCAGGTGTCCCAGAAACGATGCTGCCACACTCAGTCTTCAGCTGTGACAGTTGGCTCTTTCTGGTCGGACAGATCTCTGGCAAAGACTTTGGAGCCCTGGTTCTGCTCGATCGCTTCTTTAATACGAGCAGTATTAAATTTGCGTAAGTCTCGCCGCATGCATTTGGAGATCTGTCTGTTCAGTTGCCTGTATGCAGTCAAATCTGTTGACGATAGCAGCCTCATCTCCCGTCTAACAGCCATGAGATTAAGAGTGTGATCGGAGAGTTTTTGTGTTCTTCTGCGGCGGGTCTTGCAGAACTTAGCTCCGACCGCATGGACAGTTTCCAGAGCTTGTCATTCATATCGTCCACTGCATTGCAATCTTCTAGGCACTGAAAGCGGTTACGTAACTCGAGCTGAAAAGTCTCGGGATTCAGGATTAGAGCACGAGGGGGACGGAGCGTTGACTTTATTAGACGAGACCTCTCCAACTTAACGTTTAGGTTCAGTGTGCCTCTAACCATCCGATACGAATACACACAAAAAATCCTTTGATGCACGTTAAAAAACTGACATTGAGTGGAAAATAGCCGGGTAGCGAGCACACCCGAACAATGCGTTTATATGCTCGTTCTCGTGCCTATTCGTCAGTGCTCGGCGAGTATCTAAACGTTCCATTTGTCGCGTCCCGCTTCAAATATATAATTATCAAAAGTTGTTAAAGGTTTTGGCGGGAACTTAGCCGACGCCGGACTGTCGCTCCTGTTTTGTCGCTTGAATAATGGTTTGAAGTGGTTTTTCTTTCGTAAAAGTGATGTGATTTTGTGAATTAAGTGTCTGCGCGCGTGAACTACTAGAGAATACGACGATACAAGTGCTTTGATGTTGATATAAACCTCAAGTTATTTTGATCGCTTGGGCGCCTTATGAACTTGAGTGGCTGTCGTCATCAACTGTCCGCTGGGTTGAGCTGTCAAAACTTCGCAATGTGACGCAGCGAAGAAAAAAATATATAAAATGAAGATTCTGAATGAAATGATGGGCTCAGAAGGGCTAGTACCTGGAGCCGTAAAGCCAGTTAAATAAAAAAAGTTGTTAAAACCCACAATTCAAATAAATTTACTTCCAAAGTTTCTAAATATATACTTTTCTTTTCAATTAGCTTCCTAAAGAAAGCTATCAGAAGAATTTTTTTTTAATTTCAGGCGTTCTTTCAGTCTTTTTTGTATTGAATTACAAAAAAGATATCTATAGAGCTACTAAAACATTTAGGTTTGTAGAGCTAATAAAACCTAAATGTTTTATTAGCTCTATAGATAGATATCTTACTAATAGCCCTTTGTGCGACAGAGATGACAAGGCGATTGTCTTTTTACAATTAAATTCCACCACTTCTTGATTTGCCATGGTTGCCACACTAAGTAGATGTGTTGGCAGCCAAAGTTTCTTGTTTTCTAGCTATTATTAGAAAAACGCTGCTGTCCATCGTTGTGATTCCCTCTATCCCCTCTTTCGACACCCACGGGATGATCTGGGGCAGTGGATATTCTTACATAGTTTCAACGTAGTACATGGGCTTGGATTTTTCAATTGTATTGAAATAAATAAAAACTGCAGCGTGTAAATTGTATACTGACCGTATAGAGGCGGTGTAAGAATACCCGCTACTCCATATCGTGCCGTGGGTTTCGTAAGAGGCGACCGAGGGAAAATGAAAAAGGCGAACTTCTTCATGATGACAACCGAGAATAATAAAACAATTGCGACTGCCAAGCCGCCCGCCAAGCGTGGCAACTGTGGCAAATATCCTCCCATCTGCCAATCTATGGAGGCACACGCTCAGCAGTGGACTTTTGATGCGCTGTAACGGTAACAGTAAATTGCATACCAGTGGTCAATTTGGTCAGATAATATTATATTGTTTTAGTTTAAAAATTATTAATAAGTACATTTTTGGGAACGTAAAAGTGTTAAAAACTTATGAAAGCATACAGACAGACATGTAAATAATATTAACATTTTTAACAAATTAAATTTTCACAAAGTAACGTCTGATTCTATTTATTATCTTAAAAGTGTAAAAATGGAAAAAAATACATGTGATCATATTTTTAGTAACTTGTATCTATTGCGACCTTACCTCATCTAGTTTTGGGCACATTCAAGTTTTTTCTATTTGCAGGAGATGGTACACAGGAAGCCAAGCCAACGGTTACCCGGAAACAGTTAACGGAGGCTATGGAAAATTGTTTACAGATCCTCAATAGCGTTGACAGGATCAAATCAGAGGCAGATGTGAACAATATAAAAGTATCATTGGAATATGTGTTGAAATATCTTCCCGGACCTATAACGCCACAGAAACTTTGTAACTGTGATGATTTCATACTGAGTAAGGACTTAATCGAGCTGTATTCGAAGTTGCTGACAGCTTTAATAAGAATTTGCTTACCCCATTGGCCATTATTGAAGGGAGAAATAATAAAGATTTTTACAATAGAGGACAGCTTCGAAGTCAGTCAAGAATCTCTAGCAATTATCTGTGGATTTTTGAAGGAAGAACGTGATCTTGTTGTATTGGATGCTTTAGTTTCGATAATTTTGAAATATGTTAAAAGTGATTCTATTATTACAGCTTTTATCGATTACAGTAAAGTTAGAACGAAAGATTTAAATGAATGGGAAAGATTCGTACAACTACTGGTAACACTACCCGAAAGAGTTGCCAACAGGTTGGCAACAAAAACTCCCAAAGAGTTCTCGCATGAACATTATTCCTATATTCTTATTTTCCATGTTTTTCGTGCGATGGATTTTATAGCAGAGAGTAGTTATTTCGTCGGTGTTAAATACGATTTACTGCAACTAGCTCATTTGGTCTCTAAAATTATAAATATTTACAGTAATTCCGATGCAATGTCCAAATTTATTGATGTTCTCATTGCGTGGGCCACTACTTACGAAGAACCAAGCAAATTCGTTAAAATTAAACTTATACAAACCCTTCTTCATCATTTAAACCGATATGCCATAGATAAAATATCTTTTACTATGTTAAAAAGATGCCCCATAGATTATAAAAGTGACGATCAACCAATACGGAGAATATTTGGTGATAATTTTGACACAAATAAAAATTGGAATGACGTTATTAGCTTCAGAATACCGTTTTATGTGAAACCTAAAGATTATAAGGATACTACTTTGGTGGAGAATCTTGTGTATTATATTTCGACGAGCAAAAATAACACTAGCGTTCTGTCAGACTTAGTTTTAAGGCTGGCTAATTTGTGGTCGGACGTTAAGGCAAATAACGTAACGAATTTGGACGAGCATATATATACATCGCAGTTGCTTGTTCTAGCAGTTAAATATCGAGCAGTTTTGGCACTCAAAAGTCACTCTCCGTGGAAGTTAATAGAGCTAAAGAAAATTCTATTTAAAGGCATGTCGAAACACTTAGATCTGCTATCACAAGAGCTTAGGTGCGTTGGTATGTCGACTATAGAAATTATATTCAAAATTCTATCCCAAATCGATGAATCAGATAAGAAAGCAGTCGAACAACTTCATTTCGATTACAATGAAATGGGACCGACTTGCTTAGAAATACACGGAATATTAAGCGAGCTAACAGACAAATGTCTCATAGATGAAAAGCGTAAAATTACTGATTGTAATTTAAAAAAAATTGATTTGATAAAACTCCTTGATGGAATAGCTATCGAAGTCATGAACGAAACGCAACCGATTCAAAACACGATAGTGACGTGTGCAGTAAAAAGTCCAGAACAAACTAAATCTATAGTAAAGACAATTATATCGGCTAAATTAGACGCATTAGAGAAAAGCGGTAAAGATGAAGAGGTTTTAGATTCCGACGATGACTTACAACCTTACGACATGAGCAATGACGTAACTGTTGCATCGAAAAAGAGACCGATGTATCTGAGAGACCTTCTAGAAATTGTCACCGAAGCGAAAGATCTAGACACATTTGAAGCTGCAGTAACGGTTGCCGAGGAATTAGTCGACAAACAACTGAAACATGAAGATGGGAAACTCGCTATAGAGCTTTTGGATCTTTTTGTACATTTAGATGAGAAATATCACGTAGATAACTTCGACAGTATAAAATTTAACACAGCAGTTGCTATAGTCTGTAGTCAACCAGCGATTTGCGCGGAGCATTTATGCAAGGAAATACATATGGATGTTGGAAGATATTCAATAGCAACGAAAATCTTTATGTTGGACGTTCTGTCTGAATCGGCTAATAGGATAGCCGATGTCAGACCAAATATGGACGAGAAACCTAAAACAGAAATCACCATTAGAGCTGAAGACAATTCATCACCCGAAGAAGTTATTCGACGTCGTTTATTGAGCAAAACGAGATATTTCCATTCGAAACGCCCTCATCCTTACGCCAGGGCTAAGAAGAATCGATTCGCAGCGGTTTCCGATTATTTTTTTTATCCCCTTGTGAGTGGTTTTGGGCAAAGACAACTAACGTTAAGCCACCACAATTTGAAACAAGACGTTGACAATATTCTGCTTCTGAAATACCTCTCTACAGTTGGCAATATAATTCTCGCGTCCAAGAACTGTCCAAAGTGTCCCAATTACTGTCGAGAGGTTATTCAAATGGTACTTTACCTTAGATTCAGTCCAGAACCAAAAATACAGAGCTGCGTTATTTCTATAATTGCATCAATTGTGCTAGCTCTACCCGAGTCTATACTGAAGGGGGAATTTTTCAATCCAATGATGGAGCTGAGATCCTGGTTGATCGAGTGTTTGTCTAATCTAGATTTGACAATGCGACTCGGAGGCCCTAAATCTGAGACAGCTCTATTCGCTGCACAGGTTTTACACTTGCTCGAGAAGAACCTTTCTGAAGTGGAATAAAATATTATTGTATCTTCTTATCTTATCTTCATTCCCACCGTTTGCTATCTTTGTTATTCAATTAAAAACGTAACTTTATGTTCTTTGTATTAATACCTTTACCCGCTAATAGATGTCGTTAGTAACGAACGTCGTTTGATCACATGTATTTTTACTATAACACCTAAATATGATTTTATTTTTAAAATAAACTTACCAAACCAAGCAAATCGTACAAATTTTATAACATAAAATATATATTTCGTAATTTAACTAAAGCTTTAAATCTTTTGACATAAAAGCGTTGACTTGTAATAATGTTCTGCAGACTAAATTTCCTAGCCATCTGTGATGGATAGGATTATAGTGCCCGATTATGTGCGCAAGCACAGGTGCACTCTCTATTGCCTCACTCTTATAGTCCGATGGGACGGTAAACCGACACGACCGCAGAGAGATCAGGCGGAGTGCCAACGGCTTTACGTACTTTCCGAGGCACGGGATTGAAACACCGCCAAGTTCCTGACTGTGGGTTGTTCAGTTGTATGGCTGCTACTGAAAATTTCTTTTCACCTTTCACCTACCTAAACCAGTTTTTTTGGCCCGCCTCGTGTTTCGATCCCGAGACCTCATGATAGTCGCGTTGACAACCACTAGACTAACAAGGCAGGCAGGTAAACAACTTAATCATATACGTAGATGCTTGTTTGTTTGAAATATTGTCTGTATGTGTGTTTTCATATAATAGAATGAAACACTAATTGGTTAAAATTATAATATTTATACCAAAGAATTATTTTGAAATTACCCATAATTTCTAAACTATCCAAACCTTCCAATAATTTCCAAATTAACAGGTATGCAACTACCACCGGTCGACCTTCTCCAGCCGATAGCCCCCATCAACCAGCAGCCCCCACCACAAACGATGGCAAACAACACAAGAACGACAAAACTTGGCGCCACGTGGGCTGACACAACAGGGGCCATAAACATCGATGTTGATAACCTCCTAGCTCCGAGATCGCCAAAATTAGCACCAGCTCCGTCTATTAATCAATTAAAGTCCAGTCCCAACAGTCCGGCTCATAAGCCAATGCCCACCGCTGGGATGATGTCCATGGGTTTCATGCAAGGCCCTCTAATTAACAACAACTTCATCCCGCCCACAGGGGGGCTAAATAACAACATGACTACAAACATTAGACCGCCGTTCGCGAATCAAAATACGTTCTTTCAATGATATTTGCTATTGGCAGACATTTGCCATAACGGTTAAACTGTTTTGGAGCAATGGAATTATTATTTAAGTGTTCTCAATCTTTTGTTAATTTTGAGTTTTGTGATAATTTCACAACACTGGTAATTATTCTTAATTAACAAGATAACTGTTTAGTGGCGGTGTAAGAATATCCAATATCCCATGTCAACTCGTGGATGTCGTAAGAGGATAGAGGGAATCTTCTTGATAACAACTCCCCTATAAGTTCATCTATTTGGGAAGCCTAAGTTCAGTTTGGACTTTTATATGCTGTAATAGAACAAAAATAGCTTACTTTCAGTAGTGGGAAAATGGTTTTTTCCATTGTTTACATGTAATGAGGCATACCATCTTAGTCCTCAGGGGTGACAACGCATCTGGGCTACCAGACATCATACATTTACCATCGGGTGGACTGTGTGCTCGTTTGTCACCTAATTCTATATAAAAATGTATTTTTATAATGTCTTAATAATAATTACTGCAATACTAGTATTTTAAAAAAAACTCGTTCAATTTTATGAAAAAATATTACATCGATAAACTTCTATATGATAATTCATTGCTCCAAACAATCGCAAACCTTGTTATATATTAAAGTGGGTACGTACCGCAGACGATACAAAACTTTTTATACAATTTTGATATTAAATGGACCATGGACATACGTGACAGTGAAGCCCCGTGTGGCTGTTGGCAAGTGTACGGAGGTGCATATCAATGTATATCACATGATATTATTGTTGTATGTTGTATAATATTGGGCTAGATATCTCGAGAAACGTTATTTCGAAAATACAATTTAGGGATAGGGATAGGGATGTGCTGTTTTATCGAACATCAAAATCCTGTAAAAAAAAAAGAGTTATTTTGAGTTAAAGTCGCAGACTATGGTAATTTAGCCATGCCTATTAACCCATAAAGTCACTGCAAATTGAATGTTCATACTGATCAGTTCAAGGAATTCGATCCTTGAAGGAAACACAGGTTTCTTTTATGGTAAGGCGTGGATGTTATGGTTATTTAATTTAATAATAAACATTGCTCATGATCGATGATTATTGCTAACTTAAGTTAGACATTAATTATGTCCATAGCTGTCTCTTTTTATTGTTATAAATCAAAAAGAGAGAGAGCAACTTTAAGCATTAATTAAATTGACGTCGATTTTCATAAGGCCGTGGATTATTTAAAAAAATAAACCGGCTTCAATGAGGGCTGATAATTTTCCGCTCACCAGATGTCGCTAGTTGAAATTGAGGTGAAGTTTTTTATAAAACAATGTCATTTAATATAGAAGTTAGTTTTAAATAAAAGTTTATCAGTTTCTAGAGTGTTATAATTATACCATATACACAATGCCTCAATGGTTTGCTCTTTAATTTTTGCACGTGTTTAACTATCCTTTTTTAATTTTTCTAGTTTTATGAATATCTGTGCTTTGATTTGTTTATTTTTTTCTAATTAATATAAAATTTAACTAATAGTGCAGAAAGAAACATTAAATCCTTACATTTTTCGCACAAATTAACTCCCCCGTGATGACAAATGTTACATGTCATTTTTAATGGCGCCGTCCTGGTGAGTGAATAAGTCGTGGATCTCCCTCATTGGATTTTAGTGGAAGTTTATATGAGACTACTTTTACCCGGAGATTTATATAGATAAATAGACCACATTGTCGAATTGATTATCTCTTTATTTTCTTAAGCCACTTTAAATTGAATGAAAAGAATAAGATGGGTAGTGTAGTATCCCCGGGGACACGGTTCACAAAATAACAAAGAAACTAAAAGTACTCTAAATAATACAAAATTTTCTATAATAATTAATATGTGACTTATTTTTACTTCACGGTGACTATACTTTTGCTGAAGTTGCGTTGATGACTCATTAATTTCGTAAATTAGACGGCGCGGCTGTAGTCTAGAATCATTAAAAAAATATGAAAATTGTAACTTTTGTTACGCATATAACATTTTATTAAGATAAACACGTTTATTAGTTTTGAAAACAGTACATTCCTTATAACATCTATAATTCTCTTTGGCTGAATTCCATGTAGCCAAATGCTATAATAAATGAAAAAAATCATTGATTCAAAAACGACGGTAAAAACGTTTCTGTAACTTTTAATTCAAGTTTTGTAACTAACGTGTAACGGTACGTTTAGCCCAATGGAAAATTCTAGACATTATCTACAAATTTAAAATAATTTGTTAGTATATTTTGTTATAGTAATTATAAGTAAAGTGAAATGAACACGACATTCCGCCATTAACCTATCAATATCACGACTGAATCTACTTCATTTGAAATCATCAAAGATAACTCCAAATATTACGTAATAAACTCTAGGATTACAAATGATCCATCACATTTGCTCAATAATAAATAGATTTTTTGAAAATGTTTCATCAAGAAACAAAAGGAGCTTTTCAGTTAATTTAAATTCTTTTCGTCCATTATGTCGTACTCTTAATGTTATCCTAAAAAAGTGTTTCTATATAATACAACTTCAAATCAACCGTATAACATACGATGGTGCTACAAATTTCCTTTTTAAATATTTTATTATAATTTTGTGCTAAATAATTTTTAATTTTTACATTTTAACTTCACCGAAAAGAAAAAATTACGGTCATTATCAATAGCTAAATTATTAATTATTACATTCACAAATTTACTCTAACATTAATAATTAATTGTTAAATAATTGCTTAGCTGTTTAATTTTAATTTCTTATAAACGTAATTATTGACTCTAATTTAACACAGTATATGCAACCAAGTAGTAAGTGCCACTGTGTACATCATAATTCATAATCCTTTAAATAACACCATGATTTCTAGACACAAAAAATAATAAAACCCACTCTATACTGCAAAGTGAGCACCAAAAAATACGTGTTCTTTGAATTCTAATAATGTATATGATAAATGATAACATAATAATTTTTTATCTGCAGTACCTTTACTAATGTTGCCATATATAAATATTTCTATCGCTTTATTTATATTAATAACAAATGCAATATTTGTGTAATGGGGCGTCTAAATGGGTTATATTTTACGACAATTTGTGGCTGCAATTATTGGCAAACATTGCCCAGCCATCAAAAAAACATTTTAGTGCATTTTATGGCTGAGCAATCAATTGCAGGCAACATGTTGCAATATGGCTGCAATAGTATGGCCTTTGATTCAGAACCCTTTAATGAGCCACACAATCCAGCAACAATGGCCGACGAAATGACGCTCATCGCAGCCGCTTACATTGTTTTGGCAGAAAAACGAAAAAAAAGGACACGAATGTGGATTCGACCCTACCTAAGTAGGCGTGACACTTTGGATTCCGTAGACAAGGAATTAATGCTGGATAAATGCTTATTTAAAAATTTTACAAGAATGTCTAAGAGCGACTTCGAATTTCTTGTGAACAGAATTGAACCAAACATACAAAGGCAAGATACAAACATGAGGAATGCAATACCTGTGACTACAAGATTAACAATAACTCTACGGTATTTAGCGACTGGAGATTCTTTCAAGAGTTTAATGTACCTTTTCAGAGTTTCCGCTTATTCAATTTCAACTATTGTCCCAGAGGTTTGTGAAGCCTTAATAGAAGGTTTAAAGGAATACATAAAGGCAAGTAAATATTTAAGTATTTATTAAGTGCACATTTATTTTTGTTCGACGTAGAATCAATGAATTTGCGAATCACTATTGACAGTTAGTCACAAGTTCTTCATAAGCAATATTTCCAGTTAACTCGATGTGGTGTAGATCGGCATACTGTTGTGGTGGAGACTGATAAGAAGCGGTATATTCTTGAGTCATAGGCTGCCGAGTATTTTGTCGTGATATGTATTGGGACATCTCTGAATATTGGGATTGAGAAGTGCTAGCTCTTTCTCCGCTATCGCCAGCAGGACTCTGTGTAAACGAAGCTGGATTTCTGTATTTTCCCATGTCACAGTCAAATAAAATTTTCATTTTGTTGAATTCTGCCTGAGCACGGGTATAGTCATCATATTTACTTAACTTGTTTGCTATATGCTCTGCGAAACCAGCAAATTCATTTCTTCTTTTTTCACCTGCTTCAAGTATAATGTTTTGAGCCTTTTCCAAAATGGGATCTGCAGTCTTGGACTTCTTAGAAGCACGTGGTGTTGGAGAGGGAATAGAGGAAAGCAGAGAGTCTGTTGTTTCTGAAAGTACCTCTTGGTCAGCAATGCTACTAGTCTCTTGGGCTTCAGTCCCCTGAAAACGAAAGAAATATTCAATATAATTAAAAAGGAACCTTTATTTTACAGATGCCATCACAAGCGACTGAATGGTAACGAGTCGCAAAGGATTTTGAAGACTGTTGGAATTTTCCTCACTGTTTGGGTGCAATGGATGGCAAGCACATTAGAATTATTTGTCCACCCAACAGTGGTACTCAATATTTTAATTATAAGCAGTTTTTTAGCATAGTGCTATTCGCGGTAACAGACGCAAGGTACAATTTTTTGTATGTACATGCTGGAGTTCAGGGAAGAATATCCGATGGGGGAGTTTTTAGGCATACGGCTTTTGGGCAAGCACTCCTGAACCAAAATCTTGACATACCACATTGTGAACCCCTTCCGGGTCGAGAAGTATCTACACCATATGTTTTCTTGGCAGATGATGCATTTCCCTTAACCGAAAATATTTGCAAGCCCTATACTGTAGATTTGAACATAGGATCTCTATTATGTAACTACAGAATATCTAGAGCACGCCGAATTGTGGAAAACTCATTTGGAATTTTGGCATCCATTTCGTATACTACGTACTACTATCAATGTTGAGATGAAAGATGTACAAAATATAGTTATGGCTTGTGCATATTTACATAACTTTTTGCGACGAAATCCAAGAGCACAAGCTTTGTATTCACCACCTGGGACCTTTGACAGGGAAGATATTGACCTTGGAACGGTAATCCCAGGATCATGGCAAGCTGATGGAGAGCGTTTAACAGATTTAAGAGTATTGGGAAGGAACTCAACAATGAGAGCAAAAGCGATTAGAGATGAATTTATGCATTATTTTATGACAGAGTGGGGATGAGTAGCATGGCAGGACAAATATTTAGGAAATCCATAATCTATTAATAAATGTAGGTACATTTTCTGTTGCATTTTCACTATCCAGTCCTGTATTTGGAGTATCTTGACTAAGAATAAACGACATCGCATCGTAAGCAAACCATTTTGTTTGTTTGCCGCCAGCACTACCACTTTTATTCTTTTTTCTTTCCTTATTCTTCACATAAGTTCGCAGGCTTCGGAATTTATTGTAAGCGTCATCACTTGATATATCAAACTTAGTAGCAACGATAGACCATGCATCTTTTTTTGCATTTCTGTCTTTATACATTCCTGTTTCCACATTCCATATTTCAGGATGTAATTGCACTTCATTAATAAAGTCAAGAGTCTTCTCATTAGACCAAGTATTAGTCATTTTAATTTATTTTCTAAACAACACAAGAATGACAGCTGCTGACAGCACAGAATATCGCCACACCACAGATTTATACACGATGGACGTCGCAGCACTCGCAGCACACTTCACGTCGCAGGGAGAAAGGGACGCGCATATACAGTTAAACAGAACAACAATATAGATGGCCCAGATATATTGCAGTATTTTCGATTGCGAGGCGATCGTTCGGCCACACGCCGCGCCGGCTACACATAAAAACATTTTGACATAGCAAAAAATATGTGGCTATAATACCGGGCCATCCTTAGAATATTGCATAGTGTGGCTGGTATTGCTAGCAATGTTGCCGGCCACAGTATTGCAGCTACAAATAATCGTAAAATATAGCCTGTTTAGACGCCCCTTAAGAACTTATAATTTGATTATTTATTGGTGATCTAAAAAAATTACAAAACATTAATATAATATAAAAGCTGCGCTTGCAACCGATAGTTCTATTATTTTTTCAAATTATACATACCGAAAGTCTCATGGTTATAATTTTAAATCAATGTTTTTAATTAATCACATTTTTAATGAAACTTTCCCTTTTATTCAAAAATATAAAGAACCACGATAATAAGAACTAGCTATATGCTCAAAACAACTGACGAAAAATCACACTGTTTTGGGGCAAAAGGAGACCGTAAATGCCCTAACTACCTTTCACATGCAGGTTGTAGATAGGACTTGTTACTAATTAATTATTAATATACAATATTTTTATACCCGCTTCATCGGTAGCTGCGTTGGTGTATATTTCAAAAGCATTACGGTAGATCATTGCATGCTCTACCGCCTGTTGGGGTGGACGAACATGATATCCATAGGATCACACCCTAATTATGTAGAGATATCGATAATTAGAATAAAATCGGTTTAAGTGTTAAAATAATGATTAAACAGCAATGTATATGTAATAAAAATTAAAGATGGAGTGTTGCGATGAGTGACTCTGAAGAGTAGAATAGAATACTTGATCTTTAAAGTACTTAATATATATGTAAACAATTCAATGTTGCCAATTTATTCATTGAGTACACTGATTCAGTACCTATTTCAAGACTGGGTGAACATTAATTTTAATTATATACTTTTTTGTATAAATTACTTGTTGAATTATACAACTTATATTATTATTGTTTGATCAGTACGTAAGAATTGATTAACATTGTTGTAAACAAAAGCATTTATTTTAATGTATTCATTCCGTTAAATATCAAGTTGTGCTCAGGCAGCTAATCGAGTTACTATCAGAAAAACTAATGTGCTCACCACAGTTTTATGTCTGGCGGATTTATTTTAGTGCTTTGTCAAATGTTTGCGTATTTATTGAAAAAAAAAATCGAATTATTAAAAAAATTATAAATTGCGCTTGTATTTTTAATAGGTATTTAATAATAATTATTTCAAATTTTGATATTTTTAAGTTTGTTTTAAATCACGGCATAAAGGCAACCAAATGTAACTGAATTATTTCGGGACCAAAATTTTAACATTTGCCTTTCTTTAAATTATCGTTTGCGATATTTCCTTTTGTGTACCTAACAAACATTGTTCGGAATTAAGATAGTAGAATAACTAAATAATTTGTGTAGTAAACAAACTGGCTGCATAGCTTTACACCTTTGCCTATCTTTGTGAACAAACGGTGAAACACCAATGACTCTTCGACATAGAATTGTATGACTGTTATGCGAATGTCGCGAAAATTTTAGCGGGCGCCAAAAGTTACTGTTGTGTTGCCTTTTAAATGTGATTTGAAATTTCTTTCCTTAAATGTTGGTGCGTTGTTTAATACACATACATATTAATGTTATGTTTGTTTAATAGGAAATATATATATATTAAGTTAGGTATTATTTTATTAGACTACCAACCTGATTTGTCAAAATAGTTGTTGCGATAAATTCGATGAGGTTTTATTTAAACAAATATAATTAGGACTGCCAGTTTCGATAATAAAGATGTCACGTGTGGTAAAAACATTGTATGAATCTACATTAAAATTGCAACCCTGATAAAAAACAACGATTTTTTTGGCAAATTTGGTTGATTGAAAAACTGTAAGGTAAAACATTTTACTCAATTCTAGCAATGCCTTGTATTGTATGTATAATACTTTATTCGTTAAATAATTTGATTAAGATACGATGGAAATAACAATACCTACCAAATTAAAGCTAAAATAATAATAGTAATATTTGTATTTAAAATACAAATTATCGTTGTTTCAGTGTAGACTTAAAGATGAAAAAAAATATACGATAATTTACACGTAATAGACTCACATCACTCGTTAATTAAGTTTAAAACCAATATTTTTTTTTTGATTTGAAGTTATAGCAAAATCGACACTGGCAACATTAAAATTCGGTTAGAAAGATGTAATTTTGGTCTCATCTATTCATTACTTATTAAAACTACATATTAACATATCCAGCCACCGAACGCATACTGTTTTGTACATACTTTTATTAATTAATACAATAATAAATATAAAATATTTTTTTAATTTCTGATTTAACGTTTAAAAGGCAAAAATTGTTGTAGAAACTACTAACTAAATTGACTTCTATGTAAGTACATAGTATATACATTTTATATAATTTTATGGTTGTTTTAGTGCATGCGCTGACATCAGAAATGTGTAAAAATGTATAATTCATATATTACTTAGTTCTTCCAATAACAAAATGAATGAGATTTAAGAGCAATAATTGATTATATAATTTTACGTCTGGTTGGCTCATTATGATGGTTTTATTTAGTTTTTTTTTTAATTTAAATGTATATTCTTATGTTACGTGTTATATTCGCACAACATATTAATAAGTAAATAATTAAATATTTTATTTTAATGTATTAAATCCAAATAAACTGATGCCGTTCGCGGCGCCTTGTACCTTATGTAAAAAGTATCCTGAAATATTGTTTATATAACGGTAGATATGTCCAGGACGATTATGAAATTAATGACAAGGTATTAGATCACGGTAGTTGTTTGCATCCCAGGGAAGTATTAATAAACGTAATTATAAATAAATCACTGTAGTTTCATTTCTCGTAACCTCCCAATAAAAATCTATTTTGTTTTTACAACAGCGGTGTAAGATGGAATATAACACACATTGCCGCCAAATACCGTGCTGTCTGTT